ATTCTAATTATTATTAAGTCACTTGAAATAAATATGGAGATAGTAAACAGTGTAAAAATATCTAAACAGAGAGCTGGTCCGTTGATTTTATGGCTAAGTCATCACCTTGTGTATAAATGATTCTCCAGTGCCACAGCTGATAAATAATACTTTTCTTTCAGCAGTGAAAATGCTGCTAATAAAGCAGAAAAATGTTTGAAACCAAAGCAATACGTAACTGCCTCTGTTTTTAAACAGAGTAGTGTGTGCCATTGTACTATATGTGCCAGTCTGAAGGTAGGTTGAACTTTTGGCATGCGGATGAGTGCTACAGATGAGGAAAACTTAATCTGATTGGTAAGCAGTTGTTCCTTTCTGCGGACGTGAATTTTCTATCCAGATCAGAATTGCTAAAGTATTAGGGACCAGATAAGCACTTAGTGGGATTTTCAGTGTGTCTGGGCACTGAATGCCAATCATGTTTCTGAGTGATTTTTGAAAATCACACCTAGACCTCATCTGTACCCTTTGGCACCCAGATACCTTCAAAATGTCAGGTTTAGATTGTCTGCCTCAATTTGTGATGGATATAGTCCGTAGCACAACTAATCGTGACTGACAGCACAAAAGGACAGGTGCCAAATTAAAATACAGGTCTAAAGATTTGGTCCTGTGTAGCTGATGGACATTTAGTGTATTTTTAATGTTTCACTGGCTCCTTAATTAAATACAAATATTTTAGATAGAGCAGCAGAAATGACTGATATGAATCCTGTTTACTCTCCAACTCTGAACTCAGCAGGTTAAGTAATTGGGAGACAGAAAAGTTCCTATATTTCTATTTCCAGCTGGTGGTACACAAAAGGCAGGAAGTTATCTCATTAATGGGGCACCAGCTTTATGCAAATTATAGTAACAAAAAGGCTTCCCTTCATACTTTTCATAAATTACCTAATAAAGTAGGAATAAATGGCCATATTCAAGAGCCTTTGTTGTATTTTTAGCACAAGACTCTTTCTGTTACTGCAAATATGACTAAATGCGCCTTGTTCAAAAGGGGTGTTTATGAAATAAGGCCACTCAAAAGCTTTTATTCCTTAACAGCCTTCAGTTACTTTTATGGCACAAAATTAACATAATTAGTCACAGAGAATAGATGACATAAGCAGCGTGCCATGCACAAAAGGGGAAACCAGTATCTAAGGAAGGTATTTTGAGAGATCAAAAATTTTCAAAGTGCTCAATACTAGAAGGTCCTTTTTATTTGTGCACAGCCTTAAGATACTTTCTTACTCCGTGAAATTCACATAATGAGATGCAGCAGACAGATGACATTAGCGATGAGCCATTAGAAAGAGGTCAGTTTCCTCTGAAAGATAGTCACTGTTCCTGCTCGTCATTAATTTGCAGCTTCAAAGCAGCGAGCATATGATAGTCTGGCATGTTAAGCAAGTTGCAGTTATCTTTAAATAACCATTTTTTCCAGTTATTAGAAGCTAAAGTTTTTAAACTTCTGACTGAAAGCAAAATTAAAGCACGCAGCAGTGTAAAAAGGCTATAGAGAGATTAGAAAAAGGAAATCAAATATGTTTTATAAATGAAGTTAGCTTTTCCCTGGGGAAAGGCTGCCTTAACTTTTAGTTCAAGAATTTGGGGTTGTATGTAGACCTCAAAGACTTGATTACTGACTATTAGATGAGAGAAAATTAGCTATTTTTAGCTGCTAACTTCTTGTTGATTAACATACCCTAATCTAAAGGGCAGAAATGTGCAGCCACATAAATAATATCGCAGACCAGAAACAAAGACGTCTGAGACGCTTGAACAAGGTGAGAGGAGATAAAATGATCACCTGTACTTAAGATTTGGTGTGAACTTTGGATGCATCTCTGGTTTGGCAGTGAAATGTCTTCAGGTATTAAGAAACCTTGGCTACTTGAATCATGTCCATTATATAAATGATTAGGAAACGTGTGTAATTGCAGTGCAGCAGGCTGCAGACAACTCCAATGCATAGCACTAAAATCTTGGTATAAAAAGACTTGTCACATGTCCAAGTAACGTCACATGTCCAAGCTGGTACTAACAAACGCTCTTGTTTTATAATAAACATCCTTTCATTTCTACTATTCACTTCATACTTAATGATGAAACTATGTAATGGGTGAAGCCTCAGGAGGATTCCAGCTGAAGTGTTCCAGTCTGATGGTTCAAGCTCAGATTTAGTCATAACGCCTAAGTGATACAGAACAGAAGACAGTATTACTAATGGATTTGCAGGGTGTCAAGGTTACTAGAGTTACACAAGTTTGTGGAAATACTAAAGTAATACCTGCCTTATATGCATTATCATTAATAGGAGTCTTTTTGCTTAATTCAGTTGGGCTTTTGGATCATGCTTTAAAGCTTTGGGCCAACATATCCTGAGCTTAAGGCACTTAAATTGCCCAGATTAGGAGTTCAGCTTCCCTTGTTTCTTTCCATAGCCCTTCTGCAGAGAGGAAGACTCCAGGCCATGCCTACACTAGTAATCCAAACCTGGCTGAGGCACACACCGGGCATCGGCATTACCATCCCGTTTAGCTGCTAGCACAGTCCCTGGCACAGCATTGCCTGTGTTGGGTAGCACTCTTCCAGGTAAACCGTGGCCACAGCTGGGGGAAGACCACAGGCCAAGGTCTCTTCCGTAATACAGCCAACCGACTCTGCCCTGGTAGAGCCACTGTATCACTTGCCCTCAGAGCCAGGGAACAGGCCGTGCCTTATTTTATTTACTAGTTTAGATATAGCCCCCGAGATTCATTTGCGACCAGCTGCCCTTTAGAAGTGCCTGCTGCTTTCGATCCACGATGGAGGAAGCCTAAACCCAGTAGGCAACTAGCTTAGGTAACGCCGTTAAACGTCTGAAGTTGGATGGGATGAATCTGGGCTTGAATTTCTATGGAAAATCAGCTAACTGCACAAGCCCTTGGGCTATCATTCATCTATGGTGTTTTAATTTAGACTAGACTTACATTCTGTGCTGTGATTTACTTGGAATGAACCAGGGTTCACTGAGAGAGGAGAAGTGCAGAATGTTTTACAATCTGGCTGTGGGCTACACTGCTTTGAAACTAATTTAGAACTACCACTAATGCTATTTTTTTTTCCTGATAGTTGGATCTGGTTATAGGTGTATCATAACTTGTTGCACAGTACACACATGCAAATTTTGGATTCCAAATTTAATCCAGATGTAAATTCCCCCGAAGCCATGGCGTACCCCAGCTGGATGTTGCAGCCTGGCTTGCTAGGAGAGACTTCCACTGCAAACTTCCAGTGCTACCCTGCAAATGCCACAGAGATCCAGCTGATTTAAACCTGTGGTTCCGGTTGTGCTTGTATCTAATCTCAGCATTGTTTTGAAATGACTTATTTCCCAAACGAGTTTTTATCAACATGGGATTAACAACATTTCTAATAAGACAGGCTCTTAAATACCAAGGTGCTGCAACCTGTCTCTGAAAGCCGTAATTGGAGTTTTCAAATCAGAGCGCTGGTTTTGAAGTGATCTTAAAATGCTGGCCATCTCTGCTGGGCAGGTGATGTGTCAGCACTAGTTGCCTCTGTTTCTAAGGTGGAGTATTTCTGTACTAGCAAACCTTTCCTATTGCAAAGGGAAACTGGACCAGCTGAAAGCTTAGGAAGCAGCTTGGAAATTAGAGATACACAATTAAGACCAAGACATTAAAATAAAGAGAATATTAAAAAACAATCCTACTTCTCCCCCTTTCACCTCTAAATATTAAGGGGTTACAGATCTACAGATCTGATTAAGGACAGTGCTCCCCCTCTTTTTGAAAGAACACTTCTTGTTTTCTACAAGAATAGTTCTTCAGCTATAAGTTTTTAGCAGTTACTTACTTATGGGGCAATATTTGTGGACTGCTCTTGTATATTAGAGAAAAGAATCAGCTTATTAGACAAAGAGTGAGGAGAAAGACTGGACAGATGGTGTTACGTTAATCTCCAGCCTTGCCCCCCAATTGCCTGATTAATAGAGGTACATTGCTGTTAGTTCTGAGGTGCAAGAAATCTTCTTTGCTTTCTTAGGACAATAAACAGAACATGATCCAAAACTAAAGAGCTCCTAAATAAGTGGTACTGAGTTTTGAGATTTAGGCCAAAATTTTAGCTCATTAGCAGATTTTTTTCTCCTGTCGAAAATGTAAAGTTTTAAGGAAAAACCTGAAATTCAAAACATTTTGCTTCAGAACATAAATATTTTGATTCTGAAATACTGTTGTTTTTCCTAATGGTTGTTTTAGTCCTGCTGGTATTATATTCCTTGAGTCACGCCCTGCAGCTGTACTAAAATGCTTGTATCCCCCTTGCCAAGGGAAAGTTGAGAAGATGCACTGTTTGTCTGAACTATACCCATTACTTCCCAGTCTGCTCTCTGCAAATGATACTTTTGCCCCTTCGCCTACATTGAATGGTAGTATTCTCTGGTAGCACCTTAAAGTTGGAGATCTGTCAGTTCAGGCTGAATTTCTAAAGCACTTTGGGAGGATCTCAGTAGATCAGGACAGATCTAGTCCCAGTAAAACAGTACAAATGCAGTGAGCAATGCCAAGATGGGCATTGCCATTTTTTTTCCCTGGCAGGCTGGTTGCTGATGAGCCTCTGACTCTGGGAAAATGCATGTACAGTGATTTCAAGATGAATTGTTCTAAATGTGGAGATTGCAAACATCATATGAGCTGAAATTTTCAGGTGTCAACGGAGGGAATGAGATTGCAGAGAATTAAGTGAATAAAGTGATACTCAAATCAATATCTGTTTAGAAAGTGTTGCTCAAAGGAGAAAAGCAGGGCATTAGAGATGCGCTGGCACGCTCAGCAGCCCGGAGTGGGCCTGGACACCAGCCTGTTTGGGTGAGTGACTGCAAGGAAGGCAACGCTCTGCAGAGGTATGGTGCAGCATTGACTTGTAGAGCATCTCTCTGTCTTGGACCTTTCTTGTGGTCCAAGCCACTCTGGATGGGGCACTGAGGCCAGGCCCCCAGGGCCCTGACCTTTGTGTGTCCCCCACCATCACGGCAAGGCCTTACTAAAATCTCGGCCACAGAGTAAATAATGAAAAAGGCTACGAGGACGAGTATGTGAGTACATCTGTTTCAAACTAATCAAAGAACGTGATGTGGTAACTAAGCTTCTCAGATCGTCTTGTGACGAGGTGGCGTGAGGTGTCATATGTTATTTTGCTTGTCCTCACTGCTTCATACGGCTAGTACAAACTGGCCATGAGCACTGCCAAAGACACAGCCATCCTTCTGCTCTTCCTTCAGTCTTGAAATGCTATAGCAGGTTGTCAGTAAGTTGGAACATGGACCTGCATAAGATACGTGGTGTAAATGTTGGCCTATGCCTTTTTATGGTGTAAGACTGCAGGTGTTTTTAAAGAAAAGAGAAAACTGGAAGAAGTAGAACTTAGGCACAGAAAGCACAATTTATTAACAGACCCCTTCTAAAGCTTGCATGTTAAACAGGCTTTCACTGGATGCCTTCAAGAAATTACTAAAACTCATGCAATATCTTTATGTCCAAAAAGTAAAACAGTTGCTATCAGCAAATGTTCTCAACTTTTCTGTGCCAAAATGGGTAAAATTATTCCAGCTAGTTTTTAACCTATTTTAGCATACATTGCAGCAAACTATCGAGTGGTAATGTGGAGATGGTCTCTTCAAGATGAGCTTATCATGCCAAGTCCAAGAAATACGGTTGGGAGACTTGTGCTAAGGGAGACGTGCGCACTCACCAGATGATGAAATAAGCAGCACAGAAAGCTTGTGAAATGCTACTATGTTTCTGCCAGATCAGTGAACAGGTATACATGAGTTACAAACTTCGGTGCAGAGACATCTGAGCTGCAGGCCTATTTCAGTGAATGATAAAGGGTGAAAAGAAAGATACAAGATCAATTTGGTGAAGATTTGGAGGAGGAGGAGGATTTTACATGTTTAAAATGAAAACTTAGTATCTTTCGAGTACCTTGGATTATATTTAACATGCCTCTTCAAAGGCAAATACTGTTTGCTTGTGAAACAGTTATCGTATGCAATTGTTACACAGTTCTTTTTAGTTCTTTGCTTGTACTAAGTTTTCCTTTTTAACCAATTTATATAAAGCTTAATGAATGTGCTATACAAATATGTGCCTGTTCCAAAATGAAAGTTGTCATCAACAGTAACTTAAATTTAACTATTAAACTTCCATTTAGCTAATATTATCCTTCTTAGACACAGTGTAGAAACGTAGGTATCTTCAGAAAGGACCATTAGAACTTGTCATTTTGGTTGTGACTAATATCTGAAGGGCATGAGAACTGATGTTCAGGCAATCTGAAAACCCTTTAGGTGAAAAACATCTTTTTTTTTCAGTGAAAAATAGAAAATATCACCAGCTATTTTTCACTTTCTCTGGAAAATTTAGTATAGACCAAATCCCAGCATGCCACTGATGAAGAGTTCAAGTTAGTCCTTGACATTAGATAGTAGGATAGGATTTGTGAAAGTACTCAGTTGACCTAATACTCCTCCTATTTACATCAGTGGGAGTAAATTTAATCAATGCTGAGTAGGTTTCAAAGTCTCATCTCTAAAATGTCAAAAGATGCTACTTCAGAACATCATATTGAGTCTCATTATGCAATTATTTATTGTTTGGTATTTTGTTTACATCCTTTTGACAGTGAAGATGCTGTATATAAGAGTTATAACTGGAAAGACGTACTGAAGTGGAGAAGTTACTGGCACTAGATGCATGTAATGATAGTGGATACTATCAATTGCTCAGTTTAAAAGGTTTTAATTTTTTTTGCTTCCAGGTTCTGTGTCTGTCATTATCAACAATCTTCTATTGTAAATGCTGTGATAGCAAAAGCAGTTTTGAAAGATGGATTCAATGGGAAAGTACTATGGGCAAAAAGTGAAGGCTTCAAGACTTCCGTAGATTCCTGTACTAAAAGGAAACCAATGGTAAGGCAATAAATTCAACTAAAGATGGTAGCAATTGCTAGATGTCACGTTTCAGAATGGATTACATCTGCTTTAACTAATATGAATCTATAGAACAGAATGAGAGAATTATGAATGGGGTGTTCTTGCTAAGGTCTAGCTCAGTTTAATTAAAACATGAACTCTAAAACAATATATATGTGCATGTGTGTGTGTGTGCACACGTAGCCTGGCTTATATATCAATATGCATACAAACCAGTAGATAAAATACAGACACCCTTTTTTCATTATACTTAAACTTTTGCTTTAAACAAAAAGCTTTATACATTATTTTAAACACATTTTTAACACATGTTAATAATATTCATGCTGTTACTTTGAAAAATCTGCGAGATGTGGTTAATGAAGAGAAACTGCAGCATAAATTGCATGTAAAATATGCAATCCACAACAACATATTTTTTCTCAAGCTACAGTTTTTTACATTAAACATCTTTTAGCTTGTTTAAATTTATTCCCTATTGTTTATAAAGAGCATCATCCGCCACCACTACTTGAAACAACTACATGTAGTAAACCAGGCAATCTTCTTACTTTAATAAGATTCTTTGGTTAAAAATAGATTTTAAGTCTATCTCACATTAAAGAATGTAAATCCTAATGAAATTGCACAAAATGTTTCTCATTTTCAAGGTTTTTTTTTTTTCTGTAAAATGAAACACTCTTCCTTTTTTCTTATGTTTGACCAAAAAAAAAGGCAGTAGTTTTTGATCTGCTGATACTGGACAGTCCATTGTGCATTGTCTGACCTGTACCTTACTAAATAGGCATGATCTGAAGGTCCAGTTCTGTACTAACACTGAGAACTATGTTACATTATCAACATGTCCAGGGAAGCCAAAGGTAAAGATACTCAGTTGAGGACTTGTCCATTTTTGATTTTCATCCCACTTAGCAAGTATATAATGAGATGGACTTAGTAGTTCAATTACGGAATCATGTAAAATGGATCTAACAGGGACCTTGAGAGGTTACTTCAACTTCCTTCATCATTCACAATAGATCACCACCTAGCCTTTCATTAAACTCCAATCATAGGTTGTGCAGCCTTCCTTATATAGGATCCTGTGCAGGACAGAAAGAGATTTTTCTCAGTCTCTCACCAGAATGTCCATTGCTGCAACTTAGATAGATTACTGATTTTGCCTGTCCACAGTTGTCATGGATAACAATTTATTCCCTTCCTCTTTGCATTGTATTGCATGTATTTTTATATGCAGTTTTTTCTTCAGTCTCTTTTTCTATAGAACAATCTTAATTCCTTACCTTTTTTTTTTTGAAGTCTAATTTTCTAGATGTTTTCTTGTTCTTGCTCTCCTCTAGACTCTTTCCACTTGGTCCACAGCTTTCTTGACCTGGGTATTTCACGGCTGGATATAGTGCTACAGCTGGGCCAAGTACTGTCGAGGCCAAGAAGTGCAGTGGGATTATTCCACATTTTTTTAGAGGTGGACACAAACGCATGCACCCTGAGACATTATGGCTCTTTTTCCACAGCACCATAGCATTTCTGATTCTGATAGAGCTCTTGGTCTGCTCAATCATGTTACACGGAACTGCTGCCTAACAAAATGGTCCTTATTCCCTATTTATTCCTCATACATCCTGGTTATTCCTAATTATAAAATTTGCACTTGTCCTTCTTTAATTGAATGTTATTTTTTAGGTCATTTCTCCATTTTGACAAAGTCCTTTTGAATATTAATCTCATTCTTTAACGTACTGGAAGTCCATCTGTGCTTGGATGCACATGAACAATCACCCTAGTCCATTTTCAAGTCACCAGCAAAATTCTGTGAAATAACAGGTTCTGCGGGCGATGCTTCATCCAGCCATCCTGCCTGACATTGAGCTGTTGTTCCTCTGTCTGAATGTGGAACCCTGGATGTGAAACCCGAATGATTTCGGCTCTATTGAATAGTAGTTTAATCTAGACTCTTTTCCTAGCTGGCTTAAGAGACTGTTGCTTGAAAGAAAAATATAAAATGTTATCAAAAATAAGATCTGGGATGTCTGCTGCATCTTCTCCAGCCACAAGTCCTATCATAGAAGGAAACTGGACACAATTTATTCTCAGCAAATCTGAATTGGCTCTTAATATTTGTCTGAAGGAGATAAGGTATTGCCTACTAAGGCATGCTTGTAAAGTATGTCTTTTCAAGGCATTAAATCTGGCTACTTCAAGTACGTGTAAACATAAAGTTTATCAGTGAATCCCCTAATGAAGTTATTAATTATTTTTCTTAGGTAATAATTAGCAGTTTGATGTTTGCTACTGATTTAGCCATCTCACTAATGTGGAAAAAAAAAGTCTGAGGGTTAGCCTGAGGAACGTTAGGAAAGCATATGCCTCAGTTTATATCCCAAACCATTAATCTGGCTTCTATTCTTTCTTCAAATTTGCGGTGCTGGGTAGAATGTGAATTTGATATGAATTTGGGAAAACCCAAGCTTGCGCTAATGCAGATGTGAAAACATCAAGAACAATAATGTCAAAGACTCCCCCTCTCCCTCCCCCCAAGTTAAAAATATTTTTTTCTGTCTTTAATAAATTAGACTTTTAGACTTCATAGTGAATTTCAGCGAGAATTTCAGTGAAATGATCGTCCATGGGACTTCTATTTTCTCCTTTTCCATAGGACCAGCATAAATCCGGTGTGTAGGTCACACCTTTCTGTCTACCCGTGTACCCTTTTCCAGGCTTTACCTTTACAGTGTTGCTCTTTCAATGATGCCAGCCTTGAGAACTCATGTTAACTTGCTTCCTGCCGCTCCTACGCTCCTCCATATTTATATGATGTCCAATCTGAGGCTTTCTTCTCCCGTCTTTCAAAATCTATCTTCTGTGGTGGCATTAAGAAATCATCTTGCTGAAGAATGGCTTGGGCGGGGGGAGGGGGGCACACGCATAGTAGCTATTCATTTATTGACACATATTTTAAAATGACTGAGAACTGCCAAGCTGTACATACAGCTAATTTGATTGACTGCATGAGCTAGGAATATAAGTCACTGCTTGTTCCTTGTCATATTCAGTAGCTGTGTCTATTTTTTTCTTTAGCCTATTTGTATTAGGGGCCTTGTCTTCATTTGTTTTTTTATAGGTCTTACCATAATGGGACCTTGACCTAAATTATAGTCTTGGGATCTTCAGCACTTTCACTAATAATAAGAATAGTAAAGCAAAGCAATTGTTTGGGGTGGACTAATCTCTTAAACTCTAAAAGCTTGGATTGATTACTGAGTGCTAACACATACAAATATTTCTTGTACCTCAGAAGAAGGGAATAGTTTTCTGGGCACCAAAAGTGAAAGCTGAAAAGGAAAAATTCTCAACGTGGGTATCAGAGAGAAAGGGCTGGAACCTGACTCTGTTGCTGCATTGCTCCCTTCAGTGATCTCCTGCTTAAACTGTTGTAAGCGTGCTTTTGCTATCAGCTATGCTTTCTTTTGCTTTTGGGTGTGTGCTTCTTTCTTTATATGAATGCTACTCGTACTTATGAGCACGCGTTTCATGGACTTCCCACTGGATGAGTTCTCAGCTCACACGGTTGAGATAGATATGTGCAGAAACACATGTCCCCCTCTGAATCAGGTTGGGGAGAGCCGCTTTGCTTCCCATATTTTCCTTCTGGCAGCCGTTGAGAATGGCTCAATGTTTTGGGCTACCTTCGGGCCTTGGAGATGGTGTTCCTGCCAGCCTGGAGCTGTGTGGGTGAGCTCCTGCACCCCCGGGTATCCGCTGCAGCATGGATGGGGTCAGAGCCCAGTGTTTTCGACGCTGGTGGACACTCATGGGAGCTGGGTAAGGAGTATGGCACTAAAGCAGAAAACAAAGTGAAGGAAGAATCCTATTAATGCAATCTGTTTTAACGCAAAACCAGATTTCATTTCTAGGCTTCTATTTTCTACTTTAATTACATAAATCTGAACATACTTTCGAGATTATGAAATAAGAACTGAAAAGCCAGTTATTTTTCATCATTTATTTTTAAAGCAAATTTATCTTTGAATTGTCATCTGTTAAAATTCCTGAGCAGCAGACCACAAATGAGTACAATATGAACATGTTTTTCCATGCCAGCCTAAATTCAAATGAGAAATGTAAAGATTTTTTTACGCTTCCTTTGAGCATTTTTATTTGAACATGAAGTGTGACTGGTTCCACCTGAATGAGGCATGGGTTATCCTCGAGGTTTACAGAGTGTGTGTGCGCACACATCTACATTGGTACTCAAACACACAACTATCTAGTACTAAGCTTAGCTATGTATTGGCAACATGTACCTGTTAAATCATCAGTGTAACAGATTCTTAAACATTGAAATGCTTTGCAAAAAGGAACAGCTCTGAGACCAGAGGGAAAAAATGAAAAGTGCTTTCTGGAAAACAGAGAGGCACCTAAATGATTCCTTTCCTGTAGTAACATTTCGTATACAGGTGTACCATTTAATGTCCTGATACCAAAACATGGAATTCTGGTTCATATTTTGGACTTTGAGAATCATTACAGTATTGCTATCTTAAAATAGGAGAGGGAAAAGAGATATGCTATATGTGCAATTTTAGAACGATTTCTTATTCCACTCTCTTGCCTATTGGGTAAACAAATTGTTATCATTCATTAAAGTTTTGGAGAAATTTATTTAGAACTCATTCCCTTTCAGTATAATAGTTCCATTTCTCTTTATACCTCCTCTCCCAAGTAATTATTATAGACACTTGGTTGGCTTTCTAAACTCTTGTTTATTGGCAAGATGACTACAGTCTGTAGTGCTTGCTATTAATTTCTGTGTATTTCCCTCTGTAGTTAGGGGATGCTCTTCTCTCTAAAAGCCCTCCAAGCTCTCTTTTTCCTCTGCTGTCTCACGAGGAGAGAGGGCTGTCAGATGCCTCAAGTCCTGGTCATCATGTGTCATAACGTATCAAGTCCTGCCTGTCATATATATGCATGCCCTATCTTCAGGAGATGCTTGTTTGGTCTCCCTAATATAAAAAGTTTTAGATATTCCATACTTAGAGCTGGTTACTTATCTTGAAATTTAACAGATAGGTTATTGAAGAATGAGCATTTGTCTCCATGTGCAGTTTGCTTTCTTCTGACGTGCTTTGGGGCAGCAGTCAATGGCATCTGTTTATACTCAAGGTTTATCACGACCAGCCTTTGACCACAATATAGCCAAATGGCACTTCTGTTATACAAGTCTTAAATAATATGTGTATTAAAAAAATCTATCTTCATTTCTCTTTTGGCTGCATTAATGAACCAAACCTAGAAGTGTTTGACCTGTCTGAGGATCCTCCAATGTGGACTCAGCATCGTGAAGCTTTGCTAGCCCCATCCGAGCTACTTTGCCCACTGTGGATTTTCTTTAACCTAAGTCCATGGTAATAAAGAGATCTTTCTGATCAAGTATATCTGCCCCAAGGAGACTGTGCTTCTTTGCAGGGTGCTAAAAGTGGTTTTGTCTCTGTGTGGACTGAATGATTACAACTGTAAAATAAAACCTAGTTCTTCCTTTGTAGCTTTACACTTTTGGCATCTAAAACATGCTGAAAATTATTACCTTTTTGGGGGCTGGTAAAAGATTCCGACTGTCATATAAAGAAGAAGGAATACAAGGAAAACAAGCATTTATCACTTCGCAATTTACACACCAAGTTTAGCCCAGCTATGATTTAAAACTGTACATAAACCCCTAAATTGATCTTTGAATAGCAAAGTTGAGCTTAACTGCAGCAATGCCGTAAGCATTGTTAGGATATATTAGAATAAAAGAACTTCACGTTCATTGTTGATCTCTCCTTGAAATTTATTAACTCCTTGGTACTAAGAAATATAATTTGGTGTCACTGACGGCTGCAGTATATTTTTACATTAACTCTAGATGGACTGAATTATCCTATCCCTAAAGGGTTACAGTAACAACTTACCGCTTTGATTAAAGGTTGGAGTGTTTATTTGGTCCCTTCTATTCCGCTCTGAACTCTCTCTTGCTTAATACATGTACTTGAAGTCCGAACCTACACTTGAAGCCTGTCCTGCTAAGCAACCTTCTGGGACATGACTGAGTTCCTGAAAGCCTAAGCCCAGTATACCGCAGTGCAATTACCAATTGAATAGGGAAAGGAAATTGGAAGGAGGAACTGAAGATATTTTACTCTTATGAATTAGTACACAAATACAGATTTATAGTCTGCATATGTGTTTTGTTTTTAACTGATGGTTGTAACTAAGGACACCTGTAAGTCAGGGGAAAAGGGAAAGAATGAAAAATAAATGGATGAAAAATGTAATAATAAGCAGCGTTTCAGAACGGATTTGGAGACTGAGAGACTTAAAAACTTGTTTTTCTTTTCCTGGAAAACCTGTATCATTGAGCTGGTGTGCCTTAGTGTAAAGTATGAAATATAATGATTTTTTAAAAGATTCTTTCAGCATTTCCAGCGGAAATGTTGAGCTAAGTGTAGAATTTGTGGGATCAGTTAGCTTATAAATAATGATCCTTTATGCTGGCATTGGGAAATCCGTGTTCCCACAGCTAGTTCAATAAAGCAATTAATATCAGTAAATGCTGAAGAAAGCAAATCTCCGCTCACTTTTGTCTGGATTAGTTAACAGAAGAAAAAAATCCCGTCCCTCTGCTGGAGTATTTAACCTTCGCATAGGAAGGCAGGCTAATGGCAGGTAAATAAAGCGCGCTGCTTGACATATGTTTGCCATTACTTCCTGTTCCTCATGTCACACGCTTTCCCTGTTACGAGAGGATTAACATTTTTCTCTGGAAATCCTCACTGCGCTCACGTTGTTTCATGCGTCCCTCTGTGCCAAACCTGTCTTGTCATCGGAGCCGGGCCCTTCTTTGGGGTGTTTCGAGGTTAGTTCTTGCTCAGCTGAGTTTCGTTACGGAGGGCCGTCACCTCCAGACCTCGCAGACCACGTAGTCCGGCGCACGCGCAGCACTGGTGTGCGCTGCGTAGGAAACTCCTGATTTACTCGGCCTTGCGCTCAGGCTTAGGGCAAGCGTTCCCCGTCTGACAGGGCATATTTCTGTAGGCCCCATAAAGTCGTCCAGGACAGGAGAAGGCAGGTCTGTCAAGGGGACGGGTGGGGTTTAGCTGACCTCATCCGACCGCCACGGATTTGTGCGTTCAGGCTGTGTCGATGAACGTTTTTGATAAAAGTCATAAAGCAGCCCTGAACTTTCGCTGCCTTTGGCTACGTTAGCTGAGGCTTTTGCACACGAGCAGGAAAAAGCTTAGAAGATTTTTATCTCGTGGCAGCCAAGGAGCGTGGTAACAAGGTAAAGGCCGAAAAGCGTTGCTGGCATAAGAAATCCCCAGCTCCCCCTTGGATTTATAACACAGCCAGTTGCGTAAGAATTGGCGCTGCTGAGCGTTTTCTGGTCGCGATAACGTCTTGCCGAAGGCCGCGGCCAAGTCTCACACCTGAGGGGTCAGGCCTCAACGTGGCCGCGATGCAACGGCTCCTCTCGCAGGTCCTCCAGCAGTGCGGGCCGGAGGGGTACAGCCTGCGCCCTTGGTAAACGGCAAGGCTTTAGGAAGCCCCCAAGTACGCTCTGCTTTTGGAGGGGCAGCCTTTCGAAGGTCCCTAGGCACGTCCCGGAGGAAGATAGTAGTTTCTGATGGGTGAGGCTATGGGTGTGAGGGCAGAGCAGGTTTTCAATGGAGTTTATTTATTTATTTATTTATTTTAAGTAAACGAAACAATATGTGGAGATGTGGGTTACGTTTCCTATCAGCAGCGTGCGCTGTGAGACTTCCCCCCCGCTCCGGTAAGAAATGTTGCTTCACGTGCAGCGCTGAAATTTCCTTTTTACATCCTCGTAATTGGTATGGGGTTCTCCATACCTTGCCGCGGCAGTGACCTCTTCTCTCTCCTTGGAGTAGGGCTAATAAAAAAGGCATACTGTTACAATCAGCTTATGCTAAATTCTTGGGAACAGGAGAACAAAAAGCGGAAGAGAAGACTCTGTAAGTTTTTTTGGCGTGCAGATGTGATAGAGCCGTGCTGCACAGGAGTGCGCGATATGAACACGCGTGTGTTTGTACTTTTCCGTGCGGTTTCTGCGCGATATTTATATTCTTTCTTCTCCAAGAGCTTAGGTTCCACAGTTGTTCTCCCTGGTTCTTGTCTTGGTTTATACTTTGCTCGTTTTCATTCTGCATGCTATGTTGTGTTAGTCTTTGCATGTATGCTGTTTTTTACCTCCGTTGCCTTCTAAGCAGGAGAGAAAAGAACAGTCTCACATTTGATTTGTTATTTTGACTGTGGGAAGTTTAACTTGAACAAGAAAATCTGTAGATGGAGAAGAAATAGAAATAGATATAATAAGGCTACAGCAAGAATTAAACTGAAAAACTGATTATTTTAGTTACAGTTATTAGGCATTACATGGCATGAAGGCTACTGATACAGCTGCTCAGATTTTTTTTTTGTTTTTTTATTTTTTTTGCAACAGTGAATGTTTTGTTTTCCAATATTAATATTGCAGGGTAGGGAACACAACATAAAAAAACAATATTTTGTTTCCCGTTTGGTCCAACTTAATAAAAGATTTCAGTCTGTCATTATGACTAGAAATATTTCATTTTGTTTCAGCTTGACAGTCACATATACTGGTTTATCCTGATACTTTTGTAGACTTGCAGCCAAAGTCCTCAGGCTTTCCTTTTCTCGTAAACGCACATGTAGGACGTTGGGTTATAACTCTTTACGATGACCAACCCAGCAGGTTGAGTTACTTTAACGTACAGTGGAGATCCTGGTGTTTTCGGCCAACTTAGCAGTTGCTGTCTGACATGTTGGTCTGCAGGAAAAAGCTGGGTTGTGAAACTCCCGCCAGATTTTCAGCTTTACACGTGTGCCAGATGGCCCAAGGCAGAGCAAACCTGTGGCCTCTGCCTCGCTGCCCCGCGCTGGGTTGTGGCTGCACTGCTCTCTCACCTGGACGAGGCAGGGCTGCCGGGCTCGCCGGGCTGCAGCCCGCCCAGCGACCCCGCTCGCCTGCCTCTGAAAGTGCCTCTCTTTAGTAGGCATTGTGGCCATGTGAACCACCACCTCCAGATCTTCTCGACAGTCCAAGAACGGAAGTTTTGGACCCATACGTAAGTTTTAACGTTTCTAATTTTGCTTGATTTGTGATTGAAATAACGTCAGGATGTACTGTATTGCATCTGGGGGAGAAATTCTTGTCTTTCAGCTCTAGCTGTGAATGTGACCACTTGGTCTCAAACTCCGTTAGTTAAATTTTGAAAAAAGAAATTGTTCGGCAAAGAAATGGTAATTCTGTTGCTTTCCATTTTTCACTCAAACATTTTTTTGAAACAGCAGGTTTGCTTATATTCCTCCTGTGAACTGAATTCACAGAAGAAATGGAAAATATTCTTAACCTAACCCATCTTAAATGGATTTCCCCTTCATTAAACAGAAGACCACCATTTTCTCCAAATTTAATGCCTGAGCTTTCTTTTAATTGGTGGCGTCCTGGCATTTCTAGATTGTCAGGCAAATTAAGTTTAAAAATTTCCATTCCTCTCTCGCTGTAGTTGTTTATTTGCGTATGTATTCAGGAGAGTCACATGTATAGTTTTGCAAGGGCACACGTAGGAATGCAAGTGCAATATGCTCTCAGTGGTGCAGTCCTTGGCCAACGTTAGCTTTGTCCCTTTGGCAGTAGTAGCTGTGTCACTTCCACCCGAGATAGCCGTTTTACGCCAGTCCAGACGTTTTCTCTCATTGCTCCCGCTGACTGTTTTAGACACTCCTTACGGAAGCTCGCTTAGCATCCCTGTGCCTTCTCACTTAAATTTGATAGCCAGTTTATGTTCGTTGGTGTGTGTGACTAACTGTCTACATCTAAGTAATCTGATATTAAAATGGAGAGTGGGAGTCTTCACATGTCATTTTTAGCAACCTATTTTTTTTTTTTAAAGATTTCTGAGACTGACATCACAGCAGCCAGAAACAGCGGTGGCAGTGGCTCAGCAAAGGCAAGCTCCGAGATCACTGTGATCCCTTAGCACCTTGCTGTGAATGCTCCTGACCTGCTGCTCATGCTGAAAGCAGCATTTCCAGTCCCCGTCTCCCCTCTGCGGCCACGTTCGAATGCTGCGATAGGCAGCTCATGCGGGCCTCAAACACACTCTTCTGTTGACCATCCAGATGAGGAATGTAATCTCTTTCGAAATTTTACTCTAAATACTCTGTAAGACAGGGCATAGGGATAATTTAGGAATTGGCTTGCAATTTCAGAGCACTGTCCAAGTGTACAGAGAAGTTAGCGTGTGCAAAAAAGCCCTGTGGGTTGGCTATGTCTTGAGATTCTCCTTTTGCAAACTGGAACAACAAAGTCTGGTGGCCTGCTTAATACTTCACACATATTTTGCCAGTTCTGGGCTTTGCCCATGTTTCTTGAGTGGAGACAGCAACAATACAGCGTGCACCGTTTCTCCTTGCCCTGTAAGAGCACTGTCACAAACTACAACTCCTGGCTGATGGAATTATTTTGCTCAGAACATCTAAAACTTTGAAAATTGTCCAGTATTCTAAGAAAGTATACTGCTGCACTGGAAGTATTTTTAAATGCTCATTTATGCTGGCTTTTTAGGCAAAAAAATGTTTGCTATTAGAAGCAAACTAAACTTGTTCAGATAATACAGGTAGCTGCAAACTTTAGCTGTCCTGTAATTCCCGAGCACTTATCCCCACGTCCACTTCCCGCTCCTGGGCCTTGGCAGCTGGGAAAGTCATTATCTGAACGGAGAGCTCGGCATCTGTCAGCTGGGAAAATGATTACCTACGCTGATAGCAATAGCAGTTGTTTTAGTTTAAAATGGGTAGCTGTGTCCCTCTACATTTGGGGGGCAGTCATCATTTCATCATTTAGTCAGTTGGCATTATTATTGTTGCAAGCATCAAAGAGCCAAACAGCAGCAGCAGCTCAGCTTCCCCCCTGCTTGAAACTCAAGCAGGCAAACAGGAGGCATCAGCTAAGCCTCAGAAAGCAGACAGGAATGCATTTTGGAGGGAGTGTTCCCTACATTTTAACAACTATATTCAAACTATATATTTCATAAGCTTCAGAAAGTGTGTCTCTATATCCCTATCTTTCATCCCTTCTCTGTACCCTCCCATCGTAGCACCAGTCCTGCTCTGGGGACCCGTTCTTCAAACTTCACGTACCTCAGAGTTGTGGCAAAGACTGCAGGAGACGAGGGCACCCTGAAGATGCTGAGTAGCTAGCAGGATGGCATTTTATTATGGAAACAGTGGCAATTTGGCCAAAAAACCCTCTGAACACAAAAATCCCGATGTCATCTTTTTTCAGAGTAGGTGAACTGCCTTTAATTTCTATGAAAAATCGAATACATGTTTTGTTGTTCTGAACACCTATGAAAAGTTGCTGTTCAGTGCCTCAGTCTTTTTTTTAAAAAATGTAGTCCAGCTCCAAAATGCTCAAAAAGTATTGCTTCACTGAATGATCTTAAAATCCATCCATATTTAGTTTGGAAATAAGTAGCCTAATTTTCAGTAACACTGTGCAATCAGTAAGTCTCATTGACCTCGCTGAGAGTATCTGTCTTCTCAGCATTTCCAAAAAAAAAAGCAATTTGTTTAGAAGTCAAATGTACTCCAAGTGCCTTAACTTGTTAATATTTTTGAAAGAATGTACTTTTAAAAAAGTGTTGAACTCTCTCTGTTTCTGTGTTACTTGAGGGGCATGGCCAGAAAGAATAATTGCAGGTATTTATCTTTAGATACATTTATATTATTTTATTCTAAGAGGAAACTCATCTTTTATTACATTTAAATAAAAGGAGACAATTGAGATGTCTTGGACTGTGTAGGAAATTAAAAAAGCAGTTGCCTACACTGTCCTGTTGTGGATTTGGCTTGAAAAAAGACCCTATGAGGAAACTTCCATCTTCTCATTTCGGGTGGTTTCAGAGAGCTGTGTGATGCTCCGAACGGGTTAACCTGCCTCAGGCTCACGTGTTGTCCGCGGCAGAACCTCTGATCCTTTGGGTTGTGTCATTTTGGCTCTTTTCTCACACATTGTTATAACCTGATATAACTTCTTGTCACTTTGCTGTCGGATGAACCATTTAGTATTCTTAGAACTGTGATACAAATAAGGCCATGAGGATTTTTAACTTTATCGTGTGAAATATCACAAGCTGTTAGGAGTATTTTATTAAACATGAGGCATCTCGATAAATGTTGTATCTAATTTGTAACAAAAATTAACTGTACAAAGTTGAGAATATATGCCTGTAACACTATTTCCAGACAGGAGACCTGACTTTTGACTTTTCATGGTAATCTTCTATTTCCCTATTACTGGACAAACTTCACAGCTAGTTTTTTTTTTTCCTCTCTATAGTGCCCATTATGAAGGGTCGGTTTAAGATACTGTCTTTGCATTAGAACCGGAGTGAGTTTCCCTTAAAACCACACAGAAAAGCTTTGCAAAACTCCAGACCGTTTCCATGGCTTCCTGAATATCTTGTGGATTTGCCTTGAACCTTAAAGGCGGGATAAATGAACCCGCGAGGCAGTTCTGCGCAAAGGAGAAGAGGTGACTTGCTAGCAAGGGAAACCTGGTTGCAGTGTGCAGCCCTGAGGCTGAGGCACCTTCTGCAGTGCCACCTGCGTGGGCTCCGCAGCCTCCCAGGGAGCCTTCCCGGCGGCCTCGAGGCGTCCGGCGATGGAAAGCTGCGCGCGGCGTGGACGAGCTGCCTTCATCTGCACGCCTTCGCTCCCGCAGCGGTCCCTGCGTTCCCGCGTCCACCAAGCTCATGCAATTCCCCTGACTGTGCACGGCTGAACGGGTCCTGCCGAACGGGTCCAGGGGGCTGGACAACGTGGGCGCTGGCCGCTGGGGCCGGCAGCAGTGCAGACGTGCGTGCGGGCGCTAGCACAAAGCACGGCTATGAAAACAGTGGCATAGACCGAGAGGTTGTCTGGTCTGACGTGTTCTGATACTTATTTGATGCTTGTTTTATATTTCCGGTGTCTTGTTGAATCTCATTTTACAGGCCCCTCTGAGTGCTGAGGTTTCCACAGCTTAGCTAGGAAAAAAATTCAGTGCTATAATAGCTTCAACCTACCCCACAACAACTGGTAATTCCATTCCATTTTAGTTGCTTTTTTATTTTATGATGTAAAGAAAGTTGTATACAATTACCCATTAAAGGATAATACCCCTCTTTAATTTCCTTCTGATTGTTTTTTCTTACTGCAAGTATTTTTATGGCAGTAGAAATGGACAATTCTAATATAGTACTATATACATTTTTCTAATGAGCCTGCTTTTCTACAGCCTTGTGTTTTTCACGTTTTGCATCTATGCAAAGCCTTATAGAATGATACCAAGCCAGGACACTTACGCTTGTGTCCACTTTGCACAGATGAAAATGACTGCATTAAAGAAGAGACACTGGAAGGCCTGACCAGTAGTTCCTGTGCAGAAACTGAGAACCGATGGCACATGGATGGCATAAGGAAGTATCTTCTTGTCTTATATGTAGAGCTTGTTGTGGAAACCAGCTTGTGGTAGATACTATCTGCACTTGCATTGTTTGTAAAAGAACCTTCTTATCTATTTTAAAAATGATATTATTTTTGTTATAAATTCATAATGCCATATCATGGATGAATCATCTTTTGCTGGGCAAGGAGACACGGCTACCAAGTAGCCCAGTGTAAACCAGCATCGCTTCATCTGATGTGACAGGTGAACTGCATTGTGTCATCAATTCAACCAAGTGGGAGTGCCTGGAGCCAGGCTTTTTAAGCCCATTTTCATCAAGGGCATGTCAGAGTTTGTACTTTGAGTAAAAATAAAAAGGCAGCTCAGTGTATCTGCTTTCAGGATGTGCTGTAAGAGATACTTAAATGCCATTGTATTAGGGAAGGGTATTTGAGAGTTTTGTTTCACCTGCACCTTGATTAGTGGGTGATTTTCCTTCTTTCAGATAAAAAGGAGATGGATGCTGCAGGTGAGATACATAGCTTGCCTATGTTTTTCCTGAATGTTTTTTGACTATTTGTTTCCATAGGATTGTTCTTTCTGGTAATGTGTCAGATGTTAATGAGGAGCATAACTGTCATATGCTGCTACTTGTTCATTTTATCTTTCTGTCTTACCTGAATGCTGATCAAGTTCTACCATGTTCTGAAAACTTATTCTTTGCTGGACTTCTTCCTCTTCTTGAGAAACTAGTGGAAAACTAATGATAAATTACTTCTCATGTGTCATAGGGGAAAATACATTAATTCTAATTCTTACCTTCAATAGCAATAATAGGTTCCTTCTTTAGTACTCCAAACCTTCATGTGACCACTGAGCAGGTTATCTGATATACCTCTTCTAAACTCATGTGTATCATAGCTTCCTGCTTTAATAATAGGAGCAATTAAAGAGTAATGTTTCAACAGAACTTGCACTGACTGCTCTATCAGTTTGTTTACAAAAACTAAACACATACTGTTGAACATAAGTAAAACAAAAAAGCTTTGGCTGTTGGAACTTATGATATCCCCATGATAACTGATTGCAATTGCAGAATCGTATCTGGTTTCAATACTTTAGAAGTTTGGTAAGGCTATGGAACTTGGAAAGTATTGAATATTTGCAGAGTGTGATCATCTAACTTCTAATAATTATCAAGAAGTCTAAACACTAACATTAAACTTAAAATGCAAGTCGAACAGGTAGGAGAAAGAGCTTTCAAAGGGCAGTATAAAGGTGCAATTTCCTCTTTCTATTTAAATGCCAGTGACTGTTGGTAAAGAGTCTGGCAACCCATCGGTATGGGACGTGAGCTGAAAGATAGAAAATGAGTCTGGAAGCGTTTGGATTCACTTGGAGCAAACAATCATGAAATGATTCTTTGACCAGGACACGTGGAGTGCTTGGGTGTGTATTGTAAGGCAGGAATCATCAGGAGAGAGTAGTACGTGACCAGGGATGTTATAAACACTCACTTGTTTGTACTCACTACCACTGCTACTTTACTAATGCAAAACTGAGTTGCAGAACAACAGAAACATGCATGATGCCCTCTAAACATCCCAGTGAGGCTGGTACGAGCTGTGAGACTGGATACTCATAGCAGCTGGGAAGACTTTTATCTTAAAGGGAGCATGAAAAGCCCTTTTTTTTTTTTTCTTCCCATATGTTATAATCACAACTGCATAATTAAATAATATGCTATACTAATTTACACTTTTAACTGCTGTTCCACCATTTTATACAGGTAATGCACCTGAAATAACCTGAAGTTCTGGGAAGGAAATACACCAAATGGCAGTAACGCCGACAGGCTGGGCTGTGAGCGAGTTAGCGGGGATGGCAGGGCGCTGCTCCTTCGTAATGGAGGGCAGAACCTGTACGAGTTTTATGACCTGCATGGTTTTAATTAGCAGTGAAGGACAAGCTGAACCAAGAGTGCTTCTTTTCTACATGCACTTAGATTTCAGTGCTTAGGTTTTGTTACAAGCAGACAAACTCTTGTTTCCTGATTGTTCGTTGCATCGGTGACCCTGTAGTGCAGCAGCGACCGGAAAACCCTTTCCGGGAAAGGGGACCCACAGGCTGCGGTGTGGAAGGGAAGTCAGACACGAGGTGATCCGATGCATTCGTTCAGTTGCCTGACTAGAAATCACTCCTGACCAGACAAGAAAATTAAATGAGAATGTTCTTCATGTCAGTTAAAGTACAAATTGCCCTCTGATCGTTCTGAGTTTGTAGTAGATAACTTCTGTTTCATGTGGCATCCCTGTTCTTGGCCATGGTGTGCAGGCTTGGACTCAGGCCAGATTAAACAGCCAAGTAGCTCAGCCTTTTGATCCAAAGGCACAGGAGAGTAGAGAAATAATTCTCCAATGTCAAAATCGATTTTCTTACTTTTTGCAGTAGTTAACACTTTGTGATCTATCCACAAAGCCATAATCATATAATGAAAGGCAGTTTGTTTTATGAGGCTATGAGGACATACGTGGGAAAGAAATATGATGCACTTTAAAAATTTGCAGCAATGAAGATAATTCATGCTTTGTGTGATGTTTAACTTAATATTTTGAAATCTTGCTACAGTTGTGCTGTGTAAAATGAATGAAAATGATATTACTTAAGTAACACATCACTGTGGCTAATAAATGTTAACTGACTCCTGTAACTTCTAATCTTTGTATCCGATTTTGCAATAAGAAGACAGAGTTGTGAGTTCATCCTCAGTTTTGGGGGAGGTATTTTGAAACAGTTGTTGTGGTGTAACGGAAGGTGAGGCCACAGAGATTAGGGGACGTGGCCAACCCACAAGTGGAAATAACGTCAGAGCTGGGATTAGAATATAGAATATACAGAATGTGTTTAACCAGAAGAGAAGCTGTTAATCCCTGCAGTGTGTTATTCTTGTGTATTTTAAAGCACTTTGATATTTTAGACTCTTATTCTGCAGCTCAAGATTACTTGATATCATAGGAGACTCACTTCTAAGAATGTATTTCTGGGATTGTTTTTGAATGTTTTAATTCAGTAAAGGGAAAAATTCTATGCACTGTAGTATAACCACTCCATCACTCTACTTGCAGAAAAACTGCTTTTCTTTCCCCACAAATTATCTTTCTAGCTACTAGCTAGTGTGAAGTCTGTGGCAGTATAAATTCCTCTTCAATGACTATAAAAACAACTACTATGGCTTCCAAAGATGAAGGAAAAATATCATGCAGCTGGGTTGTACTTCGAATTATTAGTAAAGCCCTTGAAATAGAGAATAAGAACTAATTCCCTAAATTAACAAAATATTTGATATATGTAAGTTATGCTTTAGAGAACAAATGCATAATGAAGCAATATTTCTTCAGAAATGAATAATAATTCTACTTAAAATACAAAAGTTACTGATTTGATGGCTTTGACACACACTATTCACAGGACATTGTGTAAAGCTACTTCCAAAGATAGAACTGGGCAAATCACGCTCCCCTGAAACCAATCAAATTATTCTTCAGAAAGAAAACCTGTGTTCTTGGGACAGATCAGAATTAGCCCCTTACCAAAAAGTTGAAATACCAGCAAATATTTACTTTTTTTCTGTTTAAAAATTCTGTAACCACTTAATCCTATAAAGACTATTATGGGAGATGTAGATGCTAAACATAGATTAGAGACAATGACACAGAAGAGCAATTGCTTCCAATGTTGTTGACCACTGTATCAATGGCAGTCATTGAGGCACATGCCTGAAGTCAATGAAGTGAACTGTAAGAGATGGCACAACTTAATCATTTTTAAAGTTTAGATAATTAACGAAGCTTAATAATCTTCCAAGAAACTGTCTAAAAACTTTTTTTCAGCCACTGTCACCCAAGAACAAATGTATACTTGATGAAAATACTCAAGGAGAAAGTTGAAGCTTTTGATGAAGGCATGAACTGGCTCCCACTGTAACTTCTGAACTCCTTCACGTGTCTCTGAGGTTTTTTTATTCTTCCTTTTGAGAATCAGATATTGCTCAGATGCAAGAAGCTTGCCACCCAAATGGAGCAGCTTTAGCTACTTAACAGCTTTAGAGGTTATTTCCTGGACTAGTTTGAACTTTTATGCACCAGGGATACTTGAACCTTCTCAGAAGTATGAGCTTCCTGTAGCTGGAAATACTGACTGCAGCAATAAAAGCCAACTGAATTCTCAGTGAAAGACTGAATGTAGAACCATGCTCTACATTAGTAATGGAAATAACATAGGCATAGTATAATGCCTGATATGTCATGCCATGGGTTAAAAAAAAAATTAAGGAAGATATAAATGGGAGGTTCTCTTTCTTCCTGTGAAGGTTGTCAGTATACACTGACACTTTTAAAGGCCAATATTTAAATTAAAACAGCTTTTCTAATGAAAAAAGTAACCGGCTCAATTTAATTCATCACAAATTCAACACTAAGTGCACACAAAATATTTTTAGCATGTATCGCAGGAATAGTTAGACACAGAAGTCAGCAATATCAAACTATGCTGTGTTACACATAGCATGTTCTTATCTGTTAGGTCTGCTAAAGGGAATAAATATTCTTTTCCTGATGAGAAAATCAAAGTTGTATGCCACTGCAGTGAAGTCAAGTTGACACCTGCAGAGAAGCAAGTCATGACATTTTAGCTGACTGCTTTTTTTTTTCCCTCCCCCTCTAGTTGTGGTTTGTTTCCTCATCTTATTTACTCTGACAGACAAAAGAAACCTAGATGAAAATGTTTAGATGAGGGTTTGGCATTCTTTCACAGAAATCTTCCTTTTTTCTTCTCCCCCTCCTTCTCTCTCTGTTAAATTAGTAGTTTGTACATGCTAGGTTGTGACAGTTTTCTCTTCTACAGAAGAGAAAAACACTTGAGCATGTTTTGTATTAAACATCGCCTTTCTCTTCAGGCCCCCACCCTCTGATTTCTTAAACAAAGCTACATTTATCAAGATAAGCTTCAGGTTTCATAATAATGGATCTCTTTTCAAGTCATCCTGGCATAGTTTGCTCTGAGCTGGCAAAATTCTTAAAAATGTGAATTTAGGATCAATAATATTCATAGCCCCATTTATAAAGCAGAAGTCAAAGGCATATATAATGTAGAATTTATTGAGGGAACTTATGGGCTTTGTTTACTAACTTTTTAAATCCACCTCTAATTTTTAATGTCTCTTTTTATCTAACAAAAAATTTGCAGGTGTTCATACTTCTAAAAAAAAATACATAAGGAAGCTCACAAATTATCCCATTGTGACCTAATGTTGGCGTTTACAGTACCCATCAGCCAGGCTTTTCCTAGCTGTGTCTTATTTTTGTTAACTGTGGATACCATTAAAGAATATGATAAAGTTATTATAATGGAATTGAAATACATTTTATTACATCAATATAAGTTCCATTTACTGTGCAATATGACAGTGCTTAATAATTTTATATTGCAAGCATAATTATGATATCAAATTAGTAATTTTCACAAAGTACTTGCATTAGACACTCATACGATATGATGCAATATATTTCAATTCTCTGTGGTGCTTGAAAATACTCATCCCTTTTAATGGGGGGAAGAAACCAGATGCAGTACATGGTAGCACCTCATAACTCCCTTGCACGTTTTCATAAGGACACTTACCTTACACCGCAGTGCAGATATTACCTAGCTTGTTTTATAACTAGATTCCGCTACACCGTTGAGATTGTTAAAACTACTGACCTGAAAAATGCTGGAAAAATCACTCTCTTTAGTGATACTGTCAAAAGGCCCCCAAACTACTGCCCTGCTATTCTGACTGGTCTCCTGGTTTGTGAATAGTGCTACTGGCACCAGTAAGGCAATGGAGTAGGCTGTGGGAAGGACCGCGAACTCCAGTTCAAAGAGTCTGAAAACGGTGGCGGCTTGAGTCGCATAACACCCTTGGGAGGTGGGAAAAGGAATCAATTTATATCCCACTGAAATGCAATTCCCCCTAAGGTAGGACACAGCAGACTAGACACTGCTGAGCTGCGTCAGTTTTAAGGCAGGAACTGAAGAACTGTGAATCCAGGTGAAATAGCACATGGAATCTGTGCTTTTTTTCCCCCCTTTTTTCTTGTTTTTTCCCCGTAGCATTTTTGCATGTATTTTATTTTCTGTTCAGGTACTGACAACCCTTGCAATGTAATTTTGTTCAAGGGTTTGGCTTTTATCTTCTAAAATAAATGACAAAAGGCTATGGAGATTCACTAGCATTTTAATAAACCTTTAAGAGTCTGCCTTAAATACCAGTTTTCTATACTAGAAAGCTCATCAATATCTAGACAGCCATGCAAACAGCGAGGAGGCCAGTCCATTAATGAAATGTTAATGACTGAATTAGACCTGTAATAACAGAAGTAGAATGTACTGCTGTGAGTCCATTAACATCAGCAGACCCTGCTGGGGAACAAGTAAACACAACATACAAAGGGAAAACTTGTACTAATAAACAGTTTTTTTGCGCTGTAAAGGTGCTCAGAAGCACGAGTTGCAAATCCAGTTCGCTGTGGTACTAGTGCAGTTTTCTTGCAAAGTTTCTCCGAGCCACCTAGCGCCACGCACCTTTGACGGAGTGATGATAAAAGGCACAGCAGCATTCGTACGAGATCCGCGCCCTCCTGCGAAGCTGAAGCCCGCTGCTTCCTCTTTGTGTGCAGACGTCTCTTCTGATATAAGAATAAGTGGTGTTTTATGGTGATTGTAGCTTCGTGTTACAGGCAGTCCAGGTGGGTAGCAGGGTGCAGTAGTTATCCCCTGACAGATGGCTGACCCAAGCTTTATGGTCCCTGACTCCAGCCCTAGTAGACA